AGAAAGTATGGGCTTGCAGGTTGTTCGAGGGGCATCAAAATTTCTAGTTTGGTAAGACAGATGAACAACAAGTTCTTTCAACAAGGTCTAGCACAGGGAACTATATTCAATATCTCATAATATCCTATAATGGAAAAGTATCTGAAAAAGAATATATGTATATATAACTGAATCACTATGCTATCACATGAAACTAACACAACTTTGTAAATTAACTATACTTCAATTTAAATTAAAAAGAAAAGAAAAAAAAAAGAAAAAATAGCTAGTGTTGGCAAAGATGTAGAAAATTGGGACCCTGTGCACTGAATGGGAATGTAAAGTTGGTGCAGCTATTATGGAAACAGTATGGTACCTCCTCAATTAAAAATAGAATTATCATATGATCAAAAAAGTTTTAATTTGGATGTATTCAATTTGAAACGCTTGCAAGATGTCCAGGCAGAGAAAGGTCAGTACATGGGTGGAGGGAGGAGTCTGGAGCTCAGAGGAGGGATCAAGAGGGAAGGTATAAACTCATTGTCAGCATACGGATTAAATTTAAACCACAGGAATTGATGCCTTGTCTTAAAGAGTGACCATAGTATCTTGGAAGATTTGTGAACAGCTGTGTGTGATAGTTCAGTCCACTTGTGGGAAATTCCTCAATCCTTTGCCTCATTTGTTTGTTTGTTTGTTTGTTTTTTCCCTCACCTGTGCTGCCCACATGTTGGAAGAGAGGCAAATGATAGAAAGAGCAGGGTTGACTGGGAAGGCAGTGTAACTTCAGGGCAAAACAATGCCATTCTACCTTCCCAGATAATTTATCTGTTGGCTGATGGGGGGCTTTTCATTATTAGAGATGTTTTTAGGTTTTGAAATGAAAAGAATCTTTGGAAGAAGTCCTGTGCCATCTTTTTCTTTACATCCACCTCAATGAGCATTTGTTTATCAGATGCTTTACTGAGAGCAGGTTATGGCCTGGTGGTGACAGGAGTGTGCGAGAACAAAAGCGTAAAGCCTGGGGCCTAAGCTGGGCTAGCTAAGTAGAAGCAGGCAACCAGAAAAGGGAAACCCTGAAGCCTGGCTGTACCTGCTCCATTGCGTGGCCAGGAAGGGGGAGAGCAGTGAAAGAAAATTCTTTCTCTGCCCCCAGACTCACATTCAGACTTCCTTCCTTCACCCCTTGGAGTACCGCTGGTGGAATCTGAGTGAACGTCTCCGTCTCCAGAAAGAAGAGAAAAGCCAGAGAAACACCAGTGGCACACAGCAGGTGGCTTCCCACAATTACAAGAAGAAATCTATTGCATGGACTCCGCAACCTTCTGATAAGGACTGTTCTGACGTTTCTGTTCTCTCCAAGGTGAAGGCGACATCCACTGGCCTGTTGATGTTATCTTCTCTTGTCTCCATGGCTACCATCATCTGTCCAGCATCAGCCTGCGGGGACCTCCAAGATGCTCAGGCCCGGCTGGACTCCCTGCAGGCCCTCCACCTGCCCCAAAACTTCCTGCTAGTTCTGCTGTCAGAGGGGGGTTTTAACACAAAGCTCGCTCCTCAGCCTTCAGCGTCTTCCCACTGCTCCTTGCATAAAGATTGTAAAGCCTCTACTTATGGCTTCATACCTCCTCCCACTCCTACCCACTCTGCTGTCTGAGATCCAGCCACAGGGACCTCCATTCAGTTTTTTCAGCTCCATAGCTCTCTCCTTGCCCCCTGAGTCTGGAATGTTCTCCCTGCCTCCACCTCCTCTCTCCCCTTCCCTCACCAATCTCCCACCCCCACGCTCAGTACATAGCATCACCACTTCATTAGGGAAATTGTCCTGACCTCCCCCACTACCATAGCAACCCCCCCTATTTTTGGCTTTAAAGCACTGTATACCTTCTCTGCTTAGTCCGTCTGATAGTTGTAATTGTGTAGATAATAATTTTTATAATATATCTGTATTTTTGTTAGTGAGATGATTTGATTAATGTCTCTCCCTACTGGACTTAAAATCTTCACGAGGGCAGATCTGCTGTCCTGTTCTTGGTGGCCTGCCTGGTATCAAGTCACCCTTGGCCTGTGACATAGTCACGTGTGTGTTGGCTGAAGAGAAATGAATGGACATGTATTACCACTAATAGTTGAGCTGCCAGATGAATTCTAAGAATGATCAGGTTAGGTCCTTTCTATGTGGCTCTTGGTGATTAGTAATGATATTGAATCTGATTCTCTGCTCTTGGAGAATGCTCATTCCCAGAGTGCAGGAAGGAGAATAATTTACCTATCAGTTTTCACTTATGAGCAGTTCCTACCCCTAAAGGGAAGAAGAGAAATTCTTGATAGCAATCAGCAATCATTTATGAATGAAAAGAAAGCCCCAGTGAAGGGTGATATCCCTCCCACTCTGGAGGCACCCCCACCCCCACTCACACCTTAACAATTACCTGAGAATGTATTTGGACTCCCTGAAAGAAGAAAGAAGATGATAAACAAACTCAATCACTTTAAATAAAAAGAACACAGGGACTAAGCTTGATAAAACTACCAAAAACCATTAATTTAGGGGGAAAAAGTCAGTTATGTCTCAAATGTGGTTTGAATGTTTTTTCTTTTGAATATTAAGTGTCCAGTACGTGGCTCTAGTCCACAGAGTGATGAAAATATGGTGTACATCTGTACATTTGTTTTCTCATGGCTTGTGTTTAATTATCCACAAAGAAAAAGGATTCACAAAATGTTTCGTGTTCTTCTTTTAACTGCCAAAACAGGAACTTCTGAAGCTGCAACAGAATTGGTTGCAATCCTTTGAAAGTTTTATTAATGTAGCCAGAGTATGTTTTTAATCTTCCGTATTTTGATCACTAGAATATATTTTCTGTGATTCGTTCATTCTTGTCTCAGCCATATTTTAAGTAAACAAGAGGCGAGCAGTTCTTTACTTGTAAAATATATTGGACTTTTTTAAAAAAAATGCAGAACTGTGATGATTAATGAACAAACTAAGTATTAAATCAGAGGATTCTTCTTTGTCTAGGACATAAAGGAAGTCTTGAGAACCTTTGAGAGATCAGTATCTGCACTCATTTTAATGTAAACATTAGAGACATTCCTCTGTGAACATATTTCTTTCCTCCAAAAAATTCTGTTTATAGATGCTGTATTTTCTATGTATTTGTGAATATATAAATGTAAATAAATGAAAGTGCTTATTTGTGTGTCTCAATTGATAGTTTTAAATCAGCAGCTGAAACTTCAAGCACGTGTTTTTGGTAGAGTACTTTAAAAAGTAAAAGTGTGCATGAGAAAACATTGAATGCTTGCTAGAGTGTCTCTAGTAAGAGTCAGACTTGAATGAGCAACTGAACAACAACAAAGAGGGACTCTATTATCATAATTGTCTTAATTATTCACATTTTTAAAAGGCTTATTCCAGTTTCGTAGATCTCATTGTTTGGGGCCTAAGTGTTTGGAGAATAAATAGCAGGCTACTTATCAGTGGTTGCCTGAACAGAAAAACAGAAAAGAAATATGTCTTGTCTTCTGGATGAATTTGTAAGGAGAGTTTAACTCAAACAAAATAGAATTCTTAGGTTAACAGTCTCAAAAAGACATAACGAAGGTAGTTTTAATGCAGCCCAAACAAAAAGTGTCTAAAAGTCAAAACATTTGATTGAAATAACATAATTACATCTTTTAAAACTACAAGGTTTTTTTGGCATGCCGTGTGGAATCTTAGTTTCCTGACCAGGAACCGAACCCATGCCCCCTGTTTTAGAAGTGCAGAGTCTTAACCACTGGACTGCCAGAAAGTGAAAGTGAAGTCGCTTAGTCGTTTCCGACTCATTACGACCCCATGGACTGTAGCCTACCAGGTTCCTCCGTCCATGGGATTTTCCAAGCAAGAATACTGAAGTGGATTGCCATTTTCTTCTCCAGGAGATCTTCCCGACCCAGGGATTGAACCCAGGTCTCCTGCATTGTAGGCAGATGCTTTACTGTCTGAGCCACCAGGGAAGTCCCTAAAAGTATTAATATATTTTTTAATTAGTTATTTTTGACTTTGCAGGGCCAAAGTCTCAGACTTTGTTTCTTGTTAAAATCGTACTATAATCTGCACATACAGAAGTTTTGTTTTTTTTTTATGTACTTGAACAGATCTCACCTGTACTACTTAGGTTTATAGCAACATAGACCCTAGCAGACATAGACCCTAACATTTAAGGATTGAAGAGAATGCCTAGAAATGGAAAGATAACAACTTCAAACATCAGACAATCTGAAATAGGAGTCCATGTTATAAAGGACCATTTTTCATCCCTCTTTTATTCACTAATTGAACAAATCCTTAAGTGCTTCCTACATATCAACCACCACTCAAGCTGTTGAGACTACAGAAATGAATGAACTAAGGAGATAAATCTAGCCTTAGGGATCTTCTATTCTGGTAGGTAGAAGTGAAATACTTCAATTTAACCACATCTTAATCTAATAATCAATCACATGTTATGAAAATATCTCTAGATTTTATCATGGATTAAGTTCAAGAACACCTATGGAATAAATATACCATAGTATATTACTTTTCTTGTTAAAAAAACTATGAGATTCACACTGTTAACTCACTTAAAGTTTACTATATAGTTGATAACTCTGTAACTGAATTTTTCTACATCTTGGAAATTTATGCTTTTCTCTGTAGCTTACAAAGGAAAGCCAAAAAGTTTGTTACCCAATTAGGTAGTGGCAGAGCTAGTAATAGATTTTTATGTTTCTCTGCTACTCTTTGATCTTATTAGTCCTTTTAAATTTAGAATCCTGTTAGAGTGATCTGTATTGAATTGGAGAGTGGGAACTGATATTTACTTAGTATCTACTATGAGCCAGGTACTTGACATATGTGGAGAAGCAGCTATGATCAGACACAATTCTTAAAGGAGGAGACTTTTCTGAATACAAATAGATAATAGGTAATAAGACTGATCCCCAGTAGGATGCACAGTGAGGTGAACTGTTCCTTTCTTTCCAGCCCTTGGATTCGTTCATCTGATTCAAGGAGCCTTAAAGAAAGGAAGCTTCAGCTGGAGACTGGCTGCAGTAGACTGGGTGGATGAAGTGAGGATCTATATATTTTTGTTGTTTCCAACTCTTTTGTAACCCAATGGGCTGTCGCCTGCCAGGCTCCTCTGTCCATGGGATTTCCCAGGCAAGAATGCTGTGGTGGGTTGTCATTTCCTTCTCCATGGGATCTTCCCGACCCAGGGATTGAACCCATGTTCCTGCATTGGCAGGTGGATTCTTTACCACTGAGCCGCTAGGGAAGGCCAATGATGTGTTTACCTCGAAGGTAACAGAAAGGAGCAGTTCTCTGTATGTCATGAGCGTTTTCTAAATGTTCCAGTGCAAGGGCAAGACATGGTTTCCTCACATTTGCACAGCAAAATGGGAGTTAGCAGCAGTGTAAGTGCTGGCTGAAAATATGTGTTGGGGACAGTATCTTCTCTTTTTTGGTAACTTTTCAGGGCTTTTAGTCATTTGCTAAAGGAATACTTTTTGAACACCTAGTGTAGAAGTGGCTCTGTGCTACAAATTGGAGGACATAAAGGTATACTTTGCAAGAACTTGGAAGTGAAAAAAGGCTGCAACAGATCGAATCTTAGCCCGAATTTAAATGAATTAAAAAATCTAAATAAAAAATGAAACAGGGAGTTTACAATGAAATTAGAATAAAAGAAGAAACTTGATAATTCAAACAACAGATTTAACATAGAATTATCTAGGATAGAATAAATAGCTAACTTAATTACATTGACTGAATAGATTGCACAGTCAACTTTTCTTATTATTTCTTTTAGATAACATCACTGAAAGATATTATATTTATACCCTATTGCGGTAATTTAGGATGGCATTAGTAAGTTACTGAAATTCTCATGTTAGAGCTTAGTAAATACTTTGAAATACTAGAGGAAAAACTAGATTTTAATAAAGTGATTCTAGTAAACTACCACATATAATACAACATACAATGTCCATTCTCCTTTCAAAGGGCTCTGGATATAAACCAAAAAAATCTTGACAATATTCATTTCTTGAATGCCAGTGTATTATATATTTATTAATTAGTTGATGTTTGAATTTGATGCCTTCCAGATGAGATTTTTTTGTCGTTGTTAAGGCAAAATATAAACATAGACTTTATTAAATGCTGCTCAATTCCCCAAAGAGGATCTTTCGTTACATAACAGTTTTCAACACAACTGCAAATTAAGAGATTGGCATCAGATGAGGTTTTTTATGCAATATCCTGGTGATTTAGGAATATACTCTAATGCTATCAGGAATAAATTTTCAAATTTTGGGTGTGTCGCTCTTGGGAAAATATCTTCAGATGGCTCATCTCATTCTTTTTTGTGCTTACATTGCAAAAGATGTCTTTGCTTTTTTCTAACTCCCTGTATTCTGCAACAATTCCCTATTTGGATTGTTTACCCCTATATGTGAAGTTCAGAGAGTACATATATAAATATAGTGTGGATTTCTTTGGGGCTTTAAAAAAGTTGTATTACGGAGCTTATGTAAATATTTTCCTTTTTCTCCTCCCTGATCATAAACTTGCCCTCACTCCTGGATTTGAAACATGACCAAGCTGAAAGATGAGATCATGTTTGTAGTGCACACTGAGGTCTCAGCAAGAATCTTCTAATTTGAGAGGCATCAGTATTTTACCCACTCATGTGCTGAAAAACTAAAGAATGAAATCAGGAGTTTAAAAGTTATTTTCAGCATCTGGACTAAATAAAGGAGGTAAGAGTTTTCATTTTTTTTCTAATACTCAAAATAATTTCAGTTGCAAATATAATTCTGTTTCACTTAGAAAAACTGACTCAATAGTCATTTGGTGATGCAAATAATGCTAATGTCTTCCTTTTATTTTGTTTTTAGTATTACATAAATTGCTTAGAGAATGTTATTTTGAAACTGGCAAGTTTTTAGACTATTATTTAATAGTTGCCTGATTTGCATTTTTAATACAGTGAAATTTTTTTCCTTTGATTATTATTTGTTAATGGTCTTATTTACTTTTTCAATATGGAAAGGTAAATTTCCTCTCTTGTTTCATGTAATTACATATACTATACCACTTAGGATGGAGAACATGTGTGGATAACTATCCCCCTTTTATTTTTTTTGCAGATGTTTACCACATGTGGAGCTTAGCAAGAAGAATGAGCATGAATCAAGAATGCCCCACCCCAATGCCCCCTTTGAAACATTTTTAAGTGGTTCCATGAAATAGAGTGTATTTTAATAGTTGCTATGATGGCCATGCTGAAGTCTTTAGTCTCAGACAATCCAACTCAAACTCTCTGCTGTGGGCATCTATTGTTTTTACCTACTCATTCTACCACCTTCATTTGTCAGGAATCAGGTCTTGATTTTCTTTTGGAAATCATATCTCCCTAGGCCATGTGGTCCTAATGAAAAGACTACCGTGCCCCACCTGCTCTGAAACAAGAAGAATCTTCTCCAAGATTTGTTTCTATAAGATTTATAGCTGCTAGGAGAAAGAGGAGTTCTTTTTCTCTGGGTTCTCAAGCTGAAAGAATCACATGTGCCTGAAGCTTACGGTCTTAACCCCAGGCTTCATGGAAGACGATCTCTGCAGAATGCTTGCCAGCACACAGAGAGAACTAGAGCTCTGGCAGCATTTAGCACCATCTGAAGCTAGATCAATCCTTAAAGTGTCGTTACTGGAGCCAGTACATTCCCTTTGGCTTAAGCTAGTTTGAGTTGTATTTCTATTATTTTCAACCAAAAGAGCTTTGGATGTTGTTATCTATCTAAAGGTGGGAATGATCAACTTGGTACAAGCAAAAGTAACTTGCCAGCAGTTCTAACAGAAAATCCTATCAAAATCTCTTTTGGATAAGTAGTAAGTGTTTGTTGGTTTGGGATCCTAAATTTAGAAAGCTCAAATAACTAACATTTTCTTGTACCCTAGAGACAAGTGTTAAATAAACTAACTGATCCCAAGGATTATTCAAAGATGTAATTTCAGGGTATGTCAGAGTGCCATTATAGATTCAACTTAATCACCTACATTTTCAACATTAATAGGATTATTTCATAGGAATTGATGCCATGAAAAATGATCCAAGATTTGGTGCTAATAATAGCTACAACATATTGGGACATTTTATGTTCCAAGAAGTGTGTAAAGCCTGTCATTATTTTTTGTTTAATTCTCACAGAAATTCTAAAAGGTAGGTGTTATTGTTTTTCTTTTACAGATAAGAAATCTTAGAGAAACTCAACAATGTGCTCAAGCCCAGGTCTGTCTAACTTCAAAGACTGTGCTTTTAACACTGTTTTCTCTTTAAGTTTCCAAAGTTCATAAGTTCATTGTTGATTTTTTCAACACAGTTTGGAGATACACCTGGCTAATGGTAGACATTATATCTGTATAGATATAACATATAATATATAGTAGATATAAGTTCTTATGAATACACACACACACACACACACACACACACAGATATAAATATATGGGCTTCCCCGTGGCTCAGCAGGTCAAGAATCCACCTATACAACGCAGGAGACACAGGAGATGCAGTTTTGATCCCTGAGTTGCGGAGATCACCTTGAGGAGGAGTTGGCAACCCACTCCAGTATTCTTGCCTGAAAAATCCCATGGACAGGAGAGCCTGACGGGCTACAGTCCAAGGGTCACAGTTGGACACAACTGAACATGTATAAAACATATGTGTAGTCTACCTTGAGCCAGGTATAAGAATTACTAATTCACATGGCAGTCTTATTTCAAAACTCAATGAATAAATCATAATTTGCCATCAACAATTCAATATCTGAATTTTAAATTCTTCCTGTTATGAGAGAAAGAGGCCCAGAGAGGCATTTAAAAAAAAAAGTCAGGCAACCAATCTAGTAGATTGCTGTCGGAATGTGGGGTTGCTGCTTCTTCCCAGAAAGCACAAACCTTTGGTAGTTTTGAAAGACTTGGAGGGCCTCTCTGCCGGTCTGATGGGATCCGAGGCATAGGAGGCAGGGACGGAGTGGAGAGCCTGGCCTGACCCTGTTCAGAACTTTCTTGGCTGATCCAAGTCCCGTGTGTGGATGTATGCTTCTGACCCGCGCGTGGACGTGTGACAGTGCCTTGTTTTCATGTTGACTCTCCACAACTGGGAGCTGTATTGGCTCTACATGTTTGTTTTAACTTTCCACACAGACACCCAGTCCAAAATGTAATTAATTGAGCCCTTACTTGAAGAAAAGATGTGTTTTGTGTATTTAGAGACTCCAAAATTATATAAAAAGAAATTTCAAAATTGAACTAATTCAAACAGAATTATGTTTTCTAATAGGGGAATGAGAAGAAGTAGGGATTTGGAGAGAGAACACCTAGATTTAACCACTTATTAAATATATATCTTTGCTCAGATTGTTGTATCTCAGCTTTCTAATTATGATATTTAGCCCATAAAGATGCTGGAAAGATCAAGTTAATATTGACAGGAAAACTTCATAGAAATCCCTGGAGTATTAGGGAACACACACACACACACACACACACACACACACACACACACCATTCATTATGATATGTTTATTTCCATAAAGTCTCATGAACAGTTTAAAAAATCAGTTTAAAATTTAATATCTTTAAACACATTACATGGCTCAATCAGTAAAGAATAGGCTTTCAATGCAGGAGATTCAGGTTCAATTCCTGGGCCAGGAAGATCCCCTGGAGGAGGAAATGGCAACCCACTCCAGTATTCTTGCCTGGAGAATCCCATGGACAGAGGAACCTGGCAGGCTATAGTCCATAGGGTTGCAAAGAGTCGGACACAACTGAAGTGACTTAGCACAAACATATTACAATGCAGAATACAATAGTGTTTGCAGTGTTAAAATATACAATGCTATTGTTTAAACAAATAGCTAAATAAAAACATTTAAATCCTTGTCATCTTAAACATATGAAAGAACAAGCAATTTGCATAAATCAGCCTGATTTTTGGGTGTAGATTCCCTTGATTACATATTTGTAGATATTGGTTCTTACTGTGCTTTTCTTTCATGCTGGAGAAATAACTTATTTCTCTTTAGAGACCACTTGTATGTGTTCCAGGTAATTAAATATTTAGATTAAAGAAGAGCTATTAAATATTTTTCTCAGAATTAGAACCAATAAAAATACACCTAATAAAACTATATGACTATCAAAAAAAAAAAAAAGCCAGAAAATAAGTGCTGTGATCATGTGGAGAAAATTGGAACCCTTGTGTACAGTTGGTAGAAATGTAAAATGGTACAGCTGCTATGGAAAACAGTATAGAGGTTTTTTTCAAAAAATAAAAAATAGAATTACTGTATAGGCCAGCAATTCCACCTTTGAGTATACATTGAAAAGAATTGAAAGCAGAATCTCAGAGAAATAGTTGCACACTCATGTTCATTGCAGCCAAATGGTGGAAACAACTCAAATGTACATAGTGAATGAATGAATTAAAAAACTGTAGTCCACACAATGGAATATTAGTCTTAAAACAGAATGAAATCCTGTCACATGCTGCAACATATATGGACCTGAAATAAGTCAGTCATGAAAAGACAAACACTGTACGATTTCATTTTTGTGAAGAACATAGAGTAGTCAAATTAATTGAAACAGAAAGTAAGATGGTGATTGTCAGAAGCTGGGGGGAGGGAGAAATGGGGAGATGTTATTCAGTGGGTAGAGAATTTCAGTTTTGCAAGATGAAAAAAGGTCTGGAGAGCTGTTGCACAACAAAGTGAATGCACTTTACACTACTGAACTGTAAACTTAAACGTGGTTAGGACGGCAAATTTTGTGTGAAGTGTTTTTTACCACACACACACACTGTGTGTATGCATATAACTGTATATGAATGCAGTTTAATGTAGGAGGTGATTCAGAATGCTCCTTTATTATCTTTTCAGGCCTGATGGTAATGCATGTTCACATGGGGGCCCAGGAGAAGCAGCTCAGATATTTGTGTCAGATGACAAGGGACAGAAGATTCTTTGGAGGAGGAAATGACAATGCACTCCAGTATTCTCGCCTGGGGAATCCATGGGCAGAGGAGCCTGGTGGGCTATAGTTATGGGGTCCCAAAGGACTGGACCCGCTAAGCGACTAAACAACAAGGGATAGGTGTGGGGTCCCACGTCAGAGAGTTTCTTACCAGTGTGTAAGGACTAAACCCAAGGCCATTTGTAGGGGGGAAAGGGAGATGTAGGGAGAGAAAAGGATTTGAGTTTTGGCCCAGAACGCTTTCTCTGAAGCTTGTAAGTTGGGGAAGCATTCCAGAACCTCACGTTAGTAGTTGCCAGTCATCAATAAAGGAAATATTTATTGATGAAAAACACTGATGAAATGCATTATTTAAATAGTGAATCATGTTTTTTATTGTATATCAGAGTTTGCCAAACTGTGTTCTATAGAACATTAGTTCTATGGGTATCATATTTTAAAAAAGGGTTCTGGGGTCACAATGTTTGGAAAATGTAGGGTTAAAGAGTTAAAAATGTGATTCTGTTTTATACAGAACTTCTCAAAGTCTTTACTAACATTAATATTAATGTTACTCCACCAATATTAAATATTAGAAGTTAATATTTATTATTAAATAGGTTGACATTAATGTTAATGTATTCATTAATATCCATGTTAATATATTATGGTCTAATCCCATATGACCAAGGGAGCAGTCCTCAGCATACCATTGTGAGAATACTGCCCTGCATCTTACAAGTCACGATATTTTTGTCATCTGCTTTCCTTTAAGATAGTAACTTTCTTTCATTTTTCCTGAGTTTGCTGTGAAGCCCATCTCCTTCACCATAAGCACCAGTGGGGAAACAGCCCAAGAGTAGGGCAGCTGCAGTTTTAGTATTTGTTGTTTTGAGATATGGTAAAGCTATATGGTGATTCAACTTTTCTTTAACTCTGGCTGTTTTCCAAACAGAGCATTAATGTTGGACAACCTTGCAAGGGTGTCAACAGGAAAGAGTGAGCAAGAAGAATACATATTGCAAGGTGAAAATGGTCAAAGTGTGTAGTTTCTTCAGTGGGATACTTTTTTGTTTTATAAGAAAAAGCTAGCTACTGCATTAGGAAGTTATAGTTGGCTTATTTTGAATTCTCATTCCAGAGATTTTAAATGTGACTCTTACTAAAATGATGATAGCTCAGAAGTGGCCCATTTAACAGTCAACAGATTAATTAAAACTGAGTTTAATATGAATGGACTCATATCTAGAGGGA